CCCCCCCCGGGGGGGGGGGGGGGGGGGGCGAGTGAGTGAGCGGCTGTGCAGTGCTTAGCTGCTGGCTGAGGTTAAACCATAACAGTTACAGAGCAACTATTCATGAACAATTATGAGCTACTCAGTTTACCAGGGTCTTGATTTCTATTCTTCTCCCTAACCCCTCCAAAAAAAAAAAAATCAAACATGACACCTGACACTTACCGGACATAGTAATCACTCCTGATGAGAAGGAAATGTTGGAGAATTGACAAGAAGTAATTTTCTGAAGAAGTATCTTTCAACATATTATACAACAGATGAAATACTTCATTCACATCAGTGCAAATTTTGTTAAGGAAATACAAGGACTTAAAAAAAAAAAAAAAAAAAAAAAACCAACCCCAACCCAAAAAAACCCCCAACCCCACCCCCAAACAAACAAAAAAAAACAAACAAAAAACCACCACAACACAAAACACCGCCCACACCCAGTTTCCTAGATGTTGTTCATATTGTTCAAGTAAAACCTTTTAACACTCTGAACTACTATCCTTATTAGTAAATATCCTTTTTCCACTAAGACTGTCCACAGAAACCACCTCCTGCTTAACAATTAAGACATGTTTCATTACTACTCAGAAAAACTATACTACATACTTATTATCATAGAATCCTGTAAAAATATTTCACATAAAGCTTTCATTTTCATTCTGAAGTAAGCCAGGCTATTGGCAAAAACACACTAGTCAATCATTTTAATTTCTTAAATAAGAATATTACCTGTCATTACCTGTTCTGTAATGCAACAACGTTATTGTTAGTGATTTTATATTCTTCTCATTGGTTGCATCCACCTTCCTCTGCTTCTTAAGTACCAGCTACTGCTCATTTAAAAACTGCAAGCAATCATTCTGAACTTAGGTAACTTTAAATTTACTGCTTTTTCATAAATAGAGAAGGCATGAATCTTAAGTGCCTCAGAACTTACTAGAAATGTTGTTCCAACTTAGTTATCAAAACTCCTTTTTCTTCAAACTTATAATCTTCTATCGGTGTAATTTTGTAACTTCATGTATTACAAGCCAGAGTTTAGCTTAGTAAATGTGATTTATGAAAAATTCTGCTCCAAATGACTTATATTTTACATGCAATTTAAGTACTAATTTTCTAAATAAGTTTTTAACAAAGATATCTGCTTGAGAAAGTCCCTGACAAGATATGCAACTATGACAAATAAACTGCACATAGAGCTTTCTAACTTATGTTTAATAAAGTTATTAAACGATGCAACAAGATATAACACCATTTCTATAAAGGATATTCCATTTCAGCTCTGATATCATTGAGACGATGTGACAGTTCAATTAAGTCATCTTCTTTGTTCTCATCAAACACTTTCAGCTGAATATCAAGCTCTTCATTATCCTTATCTTTCAAGCCCTATTTTTCAAAGCATAGCATAACTTAATTTTCCCTTTTTTAAAGCAAGAATTTCCCCCCCTTCTAAGATTACATAATGACAAAATATGAGACATTAACCTTTGGAAGAGGACTAAGCTGTAACTCAGTGCCTGGGGTTTTTTTATTATAATTGCACAGCCATGAAAAATTAAGGCAAAACATCAGCAAACATAGCAGGTACGGGCTACAGAACAAATATGAAGCCTTCTAATTGAGTTGAGTTCTCTTAATGGGACAGAGTCATCAGTTTATGCTTGTTAATGTCAGTTTCTTTAAAAAAATAGCCTAAGGATATTTCAAAACATTAATGAAAGTGAACTTAAGAAGCCTAAAGAGGCGTAAAGATATGCTTACAACTTCTGTTATTAAGTTAATCTAGAACTTAGCATAAAAACAACCATAGTACATTGAGAAAAACTTACAAGAGAAAAAAAAAGAAAAATTAATACTTGGAGCAGGGAAAATTTTGTTGTTCTTGTAAGAAATACTAGCAATTTCACTCATACACTTAAGAACCAAGTTTAGCTTCCTACTAGGCAAAGCACAAAAAAAGGAAACTAGCTCAAAAGCTATTAGTGTGAATGCACTCCATGCTTTAAATGAAAATTGGCCTAAAATTGTCATAACTGGATATGCACAAACTGAATAGCAACTGTGTAGTTCCCCAAAAAAAGTAGAAACTCATTCTAATGTTTGAAAACCAGAGAAGGCTACTGTGAATCTGGACAGATTAAGAGAAAGTAATATGGATCCTCCTCCTGATTGTTTTTTGTTCAAGAAACCCTCGTTCATAAATTTCTTGAAAATTTACCCCTAAGCACAGATATAAGCGTGAAGTCTTCTCTCTATCATTAAGAAAGTTGCTTTCTAATGCAAAAAAAGCCTCCTCTACGTTGGACATTCATTCACTGCAGAATTAATGATCTGAGCTCAATGCATATCTTGTAACTAATACGTTACAAATAAACAAACCGCAAGATAGCATTGACTATTTTAGTTGATATTACAGCTTACATGAAATATTAATTAAACTTACTAGAGACAGAATTTCAACACCGTAGCTTTTTAGGAAAGATTATCATCACTGAATATTAATTGCTTTTGAACTCATATATCTGTATGGCAGTACAGTCCATGAAGTTTTCTATCATGATTTATTACAATTCAGTTTATTTGCCACCTAACCCACCCCCAATTCTTAAGGTTTTTAAGCATTATTGATTGTGTAAACTAACTTTCAGTAGATTACGAAAAAATTAAAAGTTCTTCAGGGCTTCAGATGTTCTACAGCAAATAAAGACAGCAGATCACATTAATGTATCTACATGATCTAAAAACCTAAATACCTACCCTAAGAAAAATTAACATACATACACCAGCAACAGTTTCAAATCTCAATGTGCTATAAGCTGAAGGTTTTTATTTCTGAGAAATGTTGATGATTCAAAACTTCGTATCTTAACAGTTATAGCAGTATAAATTCTGTTTCAGACAAATATAAGCAGGTACTCTTTCAGCTTTAGTGAGAAACTGCTGAGTAGCTTATACATATTCTTGATCATCGGAACCATCAGAATGGTTTTTTGGTTAAGAGCTATAAATCTACCCCTAAGTCACAAATATTTATACACAACTACCCATAAAGGCATACTTCCGTGCAGCTGCATGAAGACATGCAGTCTCAAAGAGAATGAAGGAGTCGATCTGATTTTTCCTTAAAAACTCCAAATGCATTTTCAGAATGTAGATTAAAGAAAAATAGATTTCACAGAAAACAACAGGAACAGCATATACAAAGAAAGTCAATTCAAAATTGGTTCCACAGCCAGACTCCCATTCACCACATGTGCTTTGAGCTCATTATACTAAATTTGACTACCCTAATTTAATTCCTAATATATTGACTTGTTTCAACTACCATTCTGGTTTACATAGCTAATGAAAACCTAAATTTGCTGCTATGCAGAACGAAAGCAGATTTGGATTGCTAGTCCTTTCCAGGTCTGACCTTCCCCACCCCCAATCTTTCACATCAGCTAGTCTCAGTAAAACAATTTGGTTGTCTTCAACAATCACAAACAGTTAACTGTGATCAATTCCTATGTACAAATGACTTACAGGCAATATTTTCTTCAGGCCACAACGTAAAAACTCATTTCTCAAGTGTATCCTGAAATCAAGATCTTCTGGAGATGTAACAAGGGCATTGATGAGCTGCATACATGCTACCTATTATTGGAAATACAAGCAAAAACTTTTAGCATGTGAAAATAAATATTGTCTTTGAATACTTCAGTTTAATTATAAAACCAAATGTCAAGAGATGGATATTATTTATTATGCGGCACACATGCAACACCTGACCTTGCTTAGTTTAAGCAATATCAAATACTCTTCTGTTTTCATATTGCGAGTGCTTCTGCTATGTGAAAATTATATCACATAAAGGATCATACATTATTTCAGAAAGTAATTCCCACACTACAGTTCCACACTGCAACTCCTTCTCTTTCTCCTCAGATTTTGCCAATTTGAAAACAACCTGGTTTTATAGTAATCAGATTTAAAAACAAACAAACAAAAAAAACAAACACAAAAATCACCCAAAAATAACAACAAAAAAAAAACCACAAAGACACCCATACATAAAATAATTCACCTCACCAGGTGTCTTTTCTACTCCTGCACAGCACTTTTGCAAAATGTCTGAAGTCTCAGGATACTGACTAATGCTTTAATTGAACAGCTGTGCACTTTAATTGATTTACTTTAAAACAGGTAGACAATAGCATAATGCCAAAGGTGCTCATACACGTTAAGAGACTAAAATGGGACTCCAGGGAAATACCAAGTTTGGTAAAAGATGTTAACTGCAAACAGAAGTAGTATTAGAGTAGAAAAATTACATAAATAAAAACCAATAGCTGCAGAGAAAAAAGTCAGATAAAAGCACCCTTCCTGTTTTAATTACATTCATTATTTAGTTTGAATGGAACACCTTATGGAGACTTAAATTTCTATTAAAACACTCTTTCAAAGGCACTCCCTTTATATAGCTGCATCTTCCAATAATGTAGTATCATCATGCTCGCTTGAACGATTCTTGTTATTTTACTACTATGACATGACTTAACAAGCCAAAGTACATGTCCAATCTGAAATTAATAGAGAGAAGAGGTGCCATCTGCTATGATTGCTTTTGCCAGAAGAGACTCTGACTTAATGGCTTGTACTAATACATTACAAGTAAAGAATGATTTTGTCAGAAACAAGTTAATGAGTCTTGCAATTGTACCTTTACTGACATACAAGTGAGGTTTCGGGGAGCGGGGGGCAGGAATGTTGTGTGGTAGTTTTTGTTTGTTTTAAATCAACAAGGTCATAAAGTAGGAAACAACTTCAAAATTAATTCTTCTGTGATAGCATTATTAAGATTAGAATGTAATTTATAGAAACTTATTGAACATCAGTAACTTATCAGCTCTGAAACAAGAACTACTGATGGTAAACATAGCATTAAGACAACTATAGCTGACATATATATGATCTAATAATGGAGAAGGTATCCCTTCCATGTAGGTATACCTGCCCTGCTTGCATTCTACTTTTCCTTATCTTTCAGCCATAGTACCTTAGCAATACAAAATTTGACAATAAATACTGTATTATAAGAAGGAAATAAGTCAAAGTCATCCTCTAGTAGGATATTCAGCCACTTGGTCCCTATGCAAACACTTGCAGTTACTAAAAAAAGCAATTTTAAAAAGTTTGCATTCTAATAGCAACCAAAACTCTTGGGCTATTCAGGTGTACACAGAGATCAATAAATTCTATCCACCGACACATAAGCAGCAATGAACATGTGACATAGGACATGACTCAGTAAAGATCACTGGCACAGAAGACTTTTTTTTATTATTTTATAAAAATAATTTTTTGAAGTCACTAGATTATCCCTAGAGATGCACCAGCGGCTGATGAAGGGCAGATGTCAAACACACACCAAGGAACGGACAGTTCTTGTTGACAAAAGTAGCAACTATATCCTGCTGCACACTACTAATCTCCAAAGGTACCCTGCCAAAAATGGACACACCCAATCAACATCTGTCATAGTTACTACATATCTGAATACTTAAAAGGCTGCATATACTGCTGCCAAAGTCCCAGCAGTAGTAAGACAGCTGCATGTATATCTTACAGATTTCTTAGCAACAGAAGAAATCTTAGCAATGGGAGAAATTATTTCTGTTTAATGTAAGAGAATGGCTGTGTTAGAGGACAGCTATGTTCAACAACATTGAGCTTTAAATATCTAAAACTAGCAGTTTTACTCCCACTCAATTTACTTCTCATATTACTAAATTATTAATGAATTATCACTGTCCTTGTGCCATGAATTTTTCAAAAAAAGGTCAATCATTCAATTTACCAGAGATAGGCTAGAATTTAACTTAAGTTGTTATTACCCAGGAGAATGATGACATTACCAAAATCCTTCATAGCCAAATAAAACTTTTGACTGCAGTTCCCAGAAAATTTCATTACAAAAACACCCTTCAAAATACCTAACTATATTAAGAAGACCTTTGCTTATCTATTTCTTCATTCAGTAATATTACAAAAAGGTGAATAATGCTTTAAGTATGCTCCTGTCGCAGGTACTTCAAACAGTAAGATACTTGAAAGTGTGTGCTCAGTTAAGACATTCCAATTGTGGTTCTAAATTCAACTCAAATACTCACTTCAAGAGCACAACACAAACTTGTTGTTTTACGAATATATCACTTCGATGGAATCATTTCAAAGCCACAAGTACAGGAGTTTTTGTTTACTTTGGGTGCAGGAAGACTGGGGGGAAAGAGGGTGTTTAAAAAAGCAATGCTACTTAGGAGTACTTTTTCATGGTTCTTCCCTAAAAGCAAAAGATATACAGGAAACACTGCCTCCAGCTCCTTCAACTCCAACTTCCTCAGGGCTCCAGTAACAATAACTAAACACTTCACAGAGGACAGACTGAGAGTTGGATTTTTATTGGTCCATTAAACCACACACAATTCCCAGTCAAGAAGATTAAGCAGTGACAAAGATAATACAATGCTTTCACAGACTTATTACCTAAGCATTATATCTGGTATCCAAGAACAGGAATATCTCTAATTACTCTCTTTTTATTAAGGTCAAGACTTTTTAATCCTATTTTTGGGACAAGGAAGTCAGTTTCTTGGTTTCACACCATTAATCAGAAAATCTAGTATCAGCAGGCCGTTTCTATTTATTTTTCCTCTTTTACTGAACACTGGAGTAATAGCACTAAAATATTTCACTGGTAAATAATTTAAATATCATTAAATAATACACAGTCTTCTAGTATTTTAGATTATTTCTGAAGTATTAATAAGCTTATAAAAAAGTAAACCCACCTGCAGTTGTAAGAATTCATGGTTTTCCAGTCCTTCAACAATCTGAGAAAAACGTTCCCTATTGTGCCTTTCAGCAGCAGTTGTTATAGCACCTAAAAGCTTGTCCAGACTAAGAAAGAGGTAAATTGTCAAAAAGCATACCACAATCAACTTTCTCATTTTAAAGATACTTAGCCCACTATTGACACAACTCAAGACTTCAGTGCACCAACAGAGAATCTAAATGTATTTATCTACATTTATCTATATAAAGTTGAAAATAAACCAAGAACCACATGTTAAAATATCTACAAGATTAATGTTGAATTAAAAAAAAAAATTGAATAAATCTCTAAATTATTGTGACATTCAGCTAAGAAACAACCAATGAGGGGAAAAAGAAAAAAACCACAACCTTTGCAAGACTGTACACTAGGTACTAGCTGACGTGTTTGAAATCTGGGAATTCTAATATATTGTCTTTTCAGAAATCAGATCGGTTTTATCTATTTATTGCATACAAGACATGAAGTTTGCCATTTTTAACCTTCAGTAAACTAAGACACTCAATAATTCAAAGCAAATATCTGCCAACTGATTCTCTTTGTTTTAAAAAGCTCATGGACATGTGCTACATAACTCCATAACTTAAACTATTCAAAACTTCAGCTATAAATGTAAACTTTTTGCCCCTGTCAAATTTGTTATGGTTAGGTAGAGGTGATATTTTAATAAAATCCATAAATATATTTATATCTATATTATTAATATTATCATCTAAACTAATGAAAAACCTTCACATGTGGTGTCAAATCAGTAATTTTCAGCTATAAATTCATCTCCCATCCTCAGGGGAGACATCCCAATCTCAATCCTCCCCACAATAATAGGCTCAGTAGTACCCCATGCTAACACACATTTTTCTAAATCGTCATTAAAACTGACAGCTTTCCTTGTGGCAAATAATAGTTCACATTTCCTGATCATACACAACTTAAATATTCTTTTTTCAGCAGCCGTTTATGAACAGTTATGGTTCATGAAGTCTTCTCTTCTCTACAGTAAGCAATCATAGTCCTTTCAGCCCTTCCATTTAAGCCACAGTTTGTAGATCTCTGCTCACTTACTTTTGTCTTGATTTAATATTGGATTAATGCATCAGAACAGGTGAAAGTCTCTTTTCATTTAAACTACATTAAGAAAGTAAAGACTTAACAGGTTACATGTGTTTAACTGACAACTTTTCTCACCTGTATCCAAACTGACAACTCACAAGCATTCAAAAAAACCTTTTTATTTCCATATTTTACTTACATATTATCCTCTCCAACAATGCAGAGAGCAGAAAGTATTTTCACTGTTTCGGTCATCATGTGTGGCTGCTTTGGATCAATTGCTCTTGATAACAGCAAGAGACTTCTTTCATCTCCTAGAATCCTGTGCAATCCATACTTAAAGAAACAAAAAACTTACTGTGAAAAGATTGTAATTGCCTCGAATACTCATCATCATCTTTGGGCTTCAGATCCTTAGGAATCCTCATACCCCCTCTCCCCCATATGAAGCTTGGCAACACTCAACTAAAACCTTCTGGCTATTATCGCTTGGGGACACAAGTCAGTCTTCCGAGTCTTACATTTGAGGCTTTCTCCTAAGGAAGTGAGTGAGCTCATAAGGAAGATAACTTATTTTGTAAAATCAGGTATCTACCAAAAATCAAACCAGTTTTTATTTTCTATCTATATCTGAAACACCTTAACAGTATGAAAAATTCATTCCTTTTTTTTTTCTGTAATTGTAACAGCTCCTGGCAAGTCAAAATAACATTTTCCACACAAATGACCATTAGACATTGAAATTCTTTTTTTAAACAACTATCTTTTATTTATTTTATATTCTATTTCACTTTTTGTACAGCTAAATCAAAAAACTTACACCCTGGCATTTATTTTAAAGTAGCATTATTTTTCTTTTTCATTTTCATTAACTACAGGATAGTTGGTAAATCAGATATCTAATTGTCTGAAGTTACAATCAAGTGTAGGAATAGCAGTGGGGAAGCATGTGACCATTTAAGTTTACTTTTCCAACTTCTTCAGACAGGCTGTTCTGTAAGTAAGATTTTACTAAACTGAGTAACAGGAGTTAAAAGTAATGTTAATGCACAGTTATATTTATTAGGGGGGGTAGGGGGGTGGAATCAATCATTATAACAACACTTTAGATTTTGCTATGAATAAAGCAAAATTACAAGTTTAACACATCAGCTTCTAGCAGCAGTACTCACTTCGTGAACATGAGTAACCCATGTTAGAAACAAGTTAGATACGACTTAAACTAGACCAAAGCTTTACCCTTTACCCACTACCTACCAACTTAAAAACTGTAGCTAAAAGGATATGAAACCATACTCAGTTTAAAATCAGGTGAAAAGTACATTATATTAACAAAACCAAGCATGCATTCAAATCAGAATTTAGAAAGAAATATTTTCCTTTCAACTTCAGAAGCAATTAATTTCCTAATCCACTTACCTTAAATCCATACTATCGTCCTGTTTGCCAAATATTTTACTTCCAAAAATCAGTTATATTTAACAAAACCAAGACAAAATGCATATTCAGAAGGTTAACAAACAAGACTCAATGAAAACTTACACAAAGTTTACGACCTACATTTCCAAAGTCAGCTGACACTCAATATACAAGCTTTCCTTCCTTTTCTGAGATTCAACATGCTACATAGATCTTCAAGTCAACAAAAACCAAATCATGCTAAAAGTAGCTGAAATTAAAATACTTCTTACTTTATTGTTCATAAATGCTTTGAGGCACTGGATAAGTTTATGTTGATTCTTCTTATCAATACTTTCTTGCCTTGAAAGGGAGGAGGAAAATAACATAAGCACAAACAATCTTCACAAGCTCCCTCACCCCTCCCTTCAAAAGATCCAAGTCCTTACTGTTTCTTGTCCAGAAGCTTTTCCAATACATCCAAGAGAAGTCCAAGACCTTCATGTCCAAAATTGTTAACCCAGCTAGAAAAAGGAAGAAAAATGCTTTTAACTATTTCTTAATCAAATGTAAAACTTACAAAGTTATGTCTCCAATATTGCTTGTACATCTCTTCATAAATGCTGCTTTAAGTCTCACTTCCCAGGTAGACCTGATCAACCGTTAAGACAAATGCTTAGTACCAACAACTATAAGTTGTTGAGAACCACTGAAAGGTGAGAAGATATTGCAGACAGTTGCCAACACTTCACTTATCCTTTTCCAGTGTGCTGAGAAATACTTCCTCGTGCCAGTAAGCATTAGCATAATTACTCTGGTTTCAAAAAAACAGCCCCACAATTTTTTATTGCTAAGCAAACCCAGCATGATGAAAACTACAGCAGAAATTATTACTCACCTGACTGGATTGCTAGTTAGAGACACTCTCAAAGACTCTAGACAATTAAGAAGCTTTTCCTCTGAAATTCCAGATCGCAATTCATGAATATATTCTTGTGAGGACAGTGTGCATTCATGCTTGCTGTTTTTCAGTCCACCCTATCACAGAAGACAGAATGCTGCTTAACATGACATTGGTCATAATAGCATTTAGATGATAACATGCAAGACCAACAGTTCTGCGTGAATTTTAAAATCACCGTTTTCCCTGTACAACTCTTAAAAACACCTGACTTGACTCTGTTTTGTCATAAATGTTTAATAGTTTAGGTTTTGCATCACAAGGATAAATATTTTTCTGGAATCTTCTTCACTTCTTTGAGTAAAGTACATGTAGTACATCTTGGATATAAAAATTTAATTCCATCATCCAGTTGTATTAACATATTTAACTGCTACACACTCTCATTTAACATCTTCTTCATAACACTGTAGTAGAAACAACCATAAACAGAGACATAAAAACCCCCACACTTGTTACTAATCTTGTCTGATCATTCCCACTGTACCTGTCTTCTGTTTTAAAGAAGCTGTGCATTATCACTATAGACATATCCTGACTCTCAAATTAGTTCTTCTACAAAAGACAGGAAGAAGAAAAGCCATTGAAAATGAAAAGGAGCTGGTATCCACCAACTGTTACATCAATGTTTTTAAAATCATGCAGCTGCATGACTCAATGATTTCTTGCTGCACCATAATTCCATATTTCGCCACTAACAGCGATCTCTACAGGATCTTGTTTGCTACAAAAGAGTCATATGGAAGATTTGACAAAGAGCTCATCTCCCTGTGGAAGCAGCATTACAGAAGAATAACTACCTACAACATATTTCAGTATTAAAAATACCTGATAATCAGTTTTTAGAACTGTAGTATTCAAAACCATGAACAATATACAAAACATTTTACCAAGCAGTGCAACTAATCTTTTATACAGCTCTGACATGTTGCAGAAAAGTAGGCTTATCTCAGAAGAGTGGTTATGATTACTATGCAGTTCCTAAAGCTCCTTAGCTCTAAATGGTCTATTGAAGAGAACCTGATAAAGATGTGTCATGGTTGTAAAGGCAATATGAAAAGTCCCTGACCTAGAATAGGATTTATGTATTTGGTTTTAATTGTATCAGGAACTTCTGCAACTACTGTAATCTTCTAATTGTCTCTCTTTCAAAAAGCTACACTTTTTATGAAGTTTCTGCTCTATTCAAATTCCTACCATTCATTTTCCAAAAATGACACTAAGTATGGCTGATGACAAAATGACTTGTCTACATTTCAGTTAATGATTTTGACCTACATAGATTCCAGTATTAATACATATAACAGAACTATGGAAATGTTCACAATATACTTTCAGATTGTTTGTCCTCACCTCAACAAAACAAAAATGTGACACAGATTGTGAATGCATTAAGACAACAGTGTTCTCTGGACTATGTCAACTTTGAAGGTGTTCCTTGCTGACATGCATAGCACCTTTAGCTGGACAACGCGTGCCAGTTATACATCAAAGGACCAAGACAGACAAAGATGAGTAAATAGGATATAAAGGATCTACAATCTGTCACTATCAACCTTCTAAACAAAGAGATGCTCTTCCACCAAAAGAAAAAGAAATAAATGGGTGGAGGTTATCTTTATAAGAGTAGGAACTGACTTTAAATCAGACAAGTGTATTAGCCCTACATATGAAAAATCATCATGGTTTAGAAAAGTCATCACTCTGAAAGACCCTAAGGTAAAGAACTAGAAAACAGGAACAGCTTTATGCCATTCATTCCATTGGATGGAAACAAAAAAATTTTTATATATATATATATATATATATATATATATATATATATACACACATACATACAGTTTTTGTCATTTCAGACAACAGCCATTCCCCAAATCCTCAGAGTAAAAGAAGAGAACAGAAGCACTGCTGTAAGCCACAAAATATATAAAGAGATGAGGTAACTGCAACTTCAAAAGCCATTACATGTTAAGCCAGCCCCTGAAAAGCACTCTAGAATGCAAGATGTTTTTCGGGGTTTTTTCCAAAAAGATTATTTCCTGTGGTTAGCCCTTCCCCTGTAGTCTGCTGCAAGCTCCAAAGGAGATTCCTGTTCAGATGAGGCCTTTAAGGTCTTTGCTACATTTTCTTTCATATTCAAACAAAGGTGTGCTCTTGCTGCCTCATCGAGGACTTCGTGAGGCCCTCTGTCTAGCCCCTCATTTTCAGAAGACCTATGACTCCCTCAAAAACACTTAAAATAGGTTAAAAGTCAGAGGAATGGGCAGCATGATCTCCTAAACCTCACCATGCCTTACATGACAGACACACTTCTTCTTGTTTCTATGTCTAAGCACCTTTAACTACATAGCAATATGTAGTTATGTAGCATCTCCTCTTCCTTTTTTCCCCCCTCTTAAAAACAAATGATCACTGAAGATGGCTTATGAAAATCTATTCCCAAAACCTTTCACCCAAATACTCCAGTTCATGCTAGAGAATTCTCAGCTTACAAGGATTACTTTCTGTTATTTTCTACAAGCAACTTTTCAGTCTCAATCCACTCTTACTGTCTGCCCACGCTAATTGGAGTGCTACAACCAGGTGCTATTTCTTTTATTTCCCTATTCAAAGAGAGTTTAACTGGAATACTACTTTTAAGTAATGCTATGCCTTTACATGGATCCGGTTTTAATATATACATTTCTCATTTACTTTGAAGCACAAAGTCTCTGTGAAAGATATGCTTTATGTGAGAGCATCTAATAAAGACGAAAAGACAAAAGCGAAGTACAAAAAACTCAGAGGGTTAGGTCCCACACCAGAACTTTCAGAAATTAAATCAATGCATAAAATCAAAAATCTTAGAAATTACTTCATGACCAGTCACCTTCACAGTGTTACAATTAAGGCACAGAATTACTCATTCATGACAACTGAAATGAAAGCCTGGACCACACATTTAAAAATCCTTCTCTAAGGAAGTTAGAAGCAAAGTTTAGAGAAAAACTAAGCTTAAGGGAACTCCTGGAAAAGGAGTTTATATACTTACAAGCAGTATATAAAAGAAAACCTAGTTTGCTTTCCCATGAAGGGGGTAGATTAATCAATTCAAATTTGCATGTAGGACACATTTCAGGGTTTAAGGAACAATAATGACCGAGAGACAGGACAAATACTTTACAGTGCAGGATATAGTGAAAAATAAACTTAAGCACAGTTTTCTTTCTACACAAACTTTTTTTTTTTAAATATTTAGAAAACCAGGCAACAATTAAATATTTTAGAGATGCCTATTTCAGTTTCTCTGACTCCAGAGGACTTCAAAGTTGTTAGCTAGACAAAGAAATTCCTCACCCAGGACTTAGCAAATGTCCAGCTTTATACACTACTCACATGTGCCACCAGAAGCCTGTAAACAAGCTTGAGAACCATTATCTAACAAAATGGGAAAGCAAAAGCATTTTGCCCTCCATGGGGAAATAAGAAGATATTCTATCTACTTGGTGGTAAAGAACTGTGGAACACAACCGAACCAAATGGATGGGCTATAACAGTTAAAATACAAGATCAGAAGAACCTGCACAAACTACTCCTCTCTGAGGCACAATTCAGACCTCATCAGGACTCAAGCTAAAGCTGGGTTCAGCTGAAGAAGTTATAAGTATATTGCTTCCATGAGACAGTGTTTATTTCAGTGAGGATGTTGGCAGCCAGTACATTGAATAGAAATCTCACAGTATCATTGGTGGTTGCTTCTATCCAATTCACTACACCTGATCCATAATTTAGTAAATAAATCACTCTTTAGACAGAAACAAGTAACTGGTACCAGCATAATTACTAACAAAGTGGAAGTAATAACTTACACTTTCCCCCTCGCCAATGACTAACTGCAGAGTTTTTTCATACTCTCTATTAATGCAATTCTGTTTCTATCTCAAGCAAAGAAACCACTATATTTTAATTAGAGTATAAAAACAAAGTCAGATAAGACAAGTTGTTTGGGGAGGTGGGTGTGGTTGGTTTATTTGTTTTTAGGAAAGCAATAAAAGTGTTTTCAGTTATATTTTTAAACCACATACTCTAGTTGTCACACATTTGACTTGGAAAAGCAGTATCCTTGTTCAAGCTATGAGGAAACACTATCAGCTCCTGACCTAGAAATTGGAAGTTTACACAGTTCATATCCACTTCACCCTGTGGGTATTTGCCAAACACATTAATTCAACCCATTAAAAACAGAACTAACAAGCTAATCCTACTTCAGCCATCTACATTAATGACTTACAGATATAACAGAGGATGCACAGCTGCCATTTCAATGCAATTATCACTGTCTATAAAAGCAAGGAAAGGTTACTTAGCAGGCAGCTAAAATGACAAGTGGACACCAGTGCTTGAGATCTCAAGTAAAACTGAAGTAAGTTAAAGCTCTAAACTCCTCATTAACAGGCAAACCTCTTCTCTGCAATTGTCACTACAACCCAACAGTACTAGCATCAACAGCCCAAAATTCTTCTCCTCTCTAACCACAGTAAACCCGTAACTCTTCAGGAAAATAGCTACATACGCCAGCAGATGCAAACAACTCCCAAAGGATGAATCCTATGACAACATATACTGAGAAGCAGCACACCATGATGCATGCATTCTTTAAGCAATAATATACAGAAGCCATACTCTAAGAGCAGTATTTCTTATTTGACTATTTTACAAGTTACCTGTGCAAACACATGCTTGTCATGCATAACTATTCTTGCTCTCCAGCAGACCCTGAATTAAAAGGCATGGGGAAGAAAACAGGTATAGAGTTTCTCCACTACCCATTCTGCATACACCAGTTTCCTTTATAAAATCATCTCTTCACAAAGCAGCTGTTCAGATTAATTCGTATAAGGAAATTACATAGCAGCAGGAATTATTCAAAACTGGTTTTAACGCACTGAACTGGAGAATTAATAATTTGTCCCCTCAGAAATCAAATACCTTTAAACACCGTCATTGTGCTTATGTATTTTCTCAGTCAGCATAAGAACCAGTACTGTGTACAAAACTAAAAAGTACTGGTGAATACAGACAGAAAAGTCTGTTTAAATATCACTCTGAATAAAACAAAGCCAACAGCAATTTCTTTATCCCTATGCACTATATCCTTAGATATTTAAGTATATCTGAGTTAATGATTAGACAGTTTTAAATCACAGGTTGTTCTTTTTTATTCTTACTACAAAATACAAGTACTGAATATGACCCAAGTAGAAAACCTTGCAGTACCTAAAAAGCCTGTTTTGGCTGCAATCAAAAATAAAGTCCATCCATAATTAAAAAGAACATCTTTGCTTTCAGCCATCATTTAAAATGTATATGTAATTATTCCCCCCAAAATCCTTTTTCCAAGAAAACAAAAAATTGCTGAATTTGAATTTGTCGATTTGCTCAATGAATTGAGTCCCAAATACTTGTTTAAAAAGAAAAAAAAAACCAAAAACACTAAATTAAACCACGACAATGTAAAATGTAGCTGAGCACTTAAGAGAAAATTTATGCTGTGAGCAATCTCACCTTATGCCTATTAGTTGACCTTCTGAATCCTCTATATTAATCTTATTCTCACACTGGTATCTAGCAGCTGACATTTCCATGACAGACTATGAATACTAACAATTAGGACATGAAAAAAATCCATGTCTATACAGAAGTAAGCCAAATACTCTAAGTTTTGAGTGTTTGCCTTCAATAAAAAGTGAGACAAGCCTAAATTATATTTGTTGCTCACAATGAACAGATGAGTTCTCTGTGAGTCTGAAGTACTTGGAAATAGATTCCTGAAAACTTAAAAACGGATCCCTCAAAAGTGCAATCAATGATCATATACTGGTAAGATAAACATGATTGATATAGTTGATAATTATTTTGATAAAACAAGGATTCAGTTATGCCCACTGAACTTTTATCTTGGATTTAAAACTCAAAAATATTCCAGCCTAATCTCTAAAAATGGAAGTGTATTCATAAGAAAAAACAAAACTATCATGTTCATACTCACCGGAACTTTACTTCCGACTATCTGCATGCAGTGGTCAGCCAAGAGAGGTTATTGTGTAAAAAAGATAATAATAACACATAAATAAACACAACAAAGTACTTAGTAGGATGTAGCATCACACAAATTTTTCAGTGTTTAATCATTAGTTGTAGTTACAGTCTTTTATTACTTTATCAAACCGTTTAAGAGTTACAGCTTCTCAACAGGAAAACAGTAGTTCTACTGTAGCAGAAACAATTTTAAATTCTTATGTTCCACTGCTGAATCTTTAGTATTTTACACATTTATAAACAAATAACTAAATACCTAGCTTGACATCTACATCTTGAAAGATTAAGAGATATGCCATTTTGTTAAAATTATCAGGTCAGATGTTTTATATATGACACTGAGAAAACTACAGAAAAAACTAATGGCATACTGACTTCCTTGTACATATAACAACTTCATTTATTATGGAGCTTTTGATCTATTTAGATGATGTCATCACTTAATTTAATTAAGTTTTCATAATCAAAAACATAGCCTACAGTTATAAATCTAACTTACATTTCAGAAAAATCTCATGTGGCATTTTTTTTCAAGTGCTCAGTATGGATGCTTTTAATTACATGGATAATTAAACAGTGGTTTTCAGAATGACATCTTCTCTTTTTTTAACATGGAACAGCATCTCTGCATATTCAGGAACAAGAAGTTGTCTTTAAATGGAAGAAACTGCAGAAAGGCAGCACATCTCTGCCCTGTTCCATCACTTTGCACAAATGACCATGTTCCTGTGCACACCAGGATTATGGACCTCTTAAATACTGTAGGCCTTTCCTTGTCAGCTATTTGCTCCAATCTGATAGCAGCCAGTTTATTGAATAACCACTTCTATCTGATTAAGAGCCTGAGACAGTATGATTTTTTTTCTGAGATCTGAATTTGACTGTATCTGTTCAGCTTCTACTTGCTTCATTTTCTACCCTTATCTCTTCCATTATTCTTTTAGGTAGTCTTTCAGAGACAGAAGTCCCTGCAAGTCTTTTGCAATCACCTCTTCTCTTCCTGATGAAGCTTCCTCTAGATGCACAAGGTGGACTGTCATCACCAGACAATCTCTTTTCCTAATTTACTGCCTTCTTCTGCCACCAATGTTCAACTCACTCAATATGGTATGAGATGTCACCAAGTTCAGTTATGAAACAGAATTCTGAGTCTTCACCATTTCCCAAGTACAATTTTGATGGTCAACATTCTTTCTCTTCAAGTGAGAGAAGGAATCAGAAGCACAGATAATAACTTCACATTAAAGCATCCAGCTTACTAGCTTCTATACTTCATCCCCCAAGGAAAAGGAAAGCTTTTTTTCATCTATTGAAAATCAAGGTTTCTTTCTCACTCTGAACTTTGAAGACAGTACAGTGTTTCAGAAAACATGCTGCAGATGGCACACAAGCCAGAGAAAATGAAGCACCAAATTTAAAAATAATTTGGTTAAGACGACATCAGTAAATGAGAGTGGTATTTTCATGTGAGTGGAGAGAGCTCAAAAGCCTAACTAATATAAACATGAAATGAACTGGGAGAAAAGTCACATCAACTGTTAAGTGTGTTTCATGAGCTCTAAGCAGAAGAAAAGGCCCAAGTATTTGCAGTATAAAAAAGGAAGACAGATGAACAATTATCTGTGACCAAAGAAAAAGATAAAGAATTTTAAGAAAGATCATTTTGAATGCGATCAGCATTTTCATGGAAGACACGCCTGAAGATGGCCTCAAGAATAGAAAGTTTGACAAGTCATGATGCAGTAAAAATTGGTTAGGGCTTGAATTCAACTAGGCAGAGTAGTAGTTTAACTAAACAGAAGAAAAAATTAACAGTGAAAATGAGCTTTTGCTTTATTGTAAGATCCCAATCAACATTTTACAACTGAGCTCTATTTTTTATAATTTTTAAAACAGTTAAGATACTAGCTATTTAAAAGCTAAATTAAGGTAACACACTACAGAAAGGTCATTGATATTTCTGAAAAAACTTAAATTATTCCATTCAAATGCTGTGATTCAATTGCAAGAAGGACATACTGAAGCACACAAACTTTGATATGAGCTCTTTTTCCATTAGGAAAAACATTTTGCATATGTATAAAACATCCATACCGGTGCTGACTTAAGTTCAAAGTGCACATTCATGTATGAGGACGTTTTGGAATTTTTTAGCTTATATTTTTAAAATTGTTAGTACATTTTGGCAAACGTATCCCCAGTTCTGTTAAGTTTCCCATGCTGCAGTGCATACGGTAGCAGTAAAGCAATCTGTTAAAATTTTCAGCAGTTAGACATGCAATGGTAGTAGCCATGCTTTCCTTACTCATCTACAAAATTATGGTACTTGAGGCGGCCACATTTCAATATCAGTACATATAAGAGAGGTCACCACCATCCAACTACTTCTTGGGAAAGAATTGCAAGTATTTCCATTGTGAAAGCTTCTACTGCTTCAGTAAAATATTTTTGCTTACTAAGAAAAATTTAAGATTTAACGTTGATCATCAAGTGAAGACAAAAACCTTGCAACATGTAGTCGATAGTTCCCAAAGATAGTCTAGGCGAAATATATTAACAGGAAATTTCATAATATTCACTGCATAAGCTTGAATAATTCTCCAGTAACTTGTATGTTTAGCTAGACCATACTTTAAGCACTAAGATTCCTTCAAGGAGAGACTAAAGGATTGTGGATTTTGTTTAAGATGAACTCATGCAGGAACATCACTCCTCTCAGAAACGTAAATCACCATTTTCACATTATAATGTAAGTTTTCCCTCACTTAAGTTTATAATGTTTAATGCAAAGCATTTGCATTTAATAATTGCATGTCATTGTAGGTCTATTTTTTTTTTAACTCTGCAGAGCTGATTTTAAAGTTTAAAAGAACTGTACTGCTTGCAGTCCATGCTTATAGATTCATTAGGCAGACAGCAACATCATCTTATTTGCCAGTTTATTTCACTAGGAAACAGATTATTATTTAATGCTATCTGTATTTAGCCCTCAGACTCAGCTCTGTAGAACTGCTAGCAGTGCTGCCATTATTTGAACAATTATTCCACGCACAGTCTTATTTTCCAGTAACCCTTTATTGCATACAAGAACTTTAGTGTGAAAAAAGATGATATTCATCCTAATTTCCAAGTAAAATCATAAGCATTACCTAATTTTATTGAAGAACTATGCTGATAGCAAATTTTATCACTTGAGGCATACTACGGACCCTTGGATACACAAAGCTACCCCCCACCATCACTTCTCCCCAATGCTGCAATACATTCAGTTCCTCAGAATTCACCACTGGCTTCTTCAAAATTCTTTATACAGCAAATAGTGGCACAAATCAGGACAAAACCTATTTTTCGGGAAATCACAACATATATCTGTCTGTTTCATCCAACATTCATGAATTTTTGTGGCATATTCTCCTTTTACATGATAAGAACTATATTTGCCATAGTCAATTTTTAACACACAAAAAGCATTACTGTTGTATTTTATAACTAATTAGTACTAATAGTCCCACTGCAGAAAATAAATCGCAGCTCTTCACTATTTGAAACTGTATTTCTTGACCCCAAATGTTGGGGCATCCAGTCATTCTCTCACACTTCTAGCATCCCAGAACAGATAGACTGCAAAAATTCTGCAGGAAGGATCCATCAACTAAGGATTAATCAATCAATCAAAGTACAGAGAATGATCAACACGAATGAAAGGTCTGAATGTATTTTTTTCTACTCAAAATAAATTTGAAACTCATTTCAAGACCATCTTTTCACTAAAGGAATCATTTTATTTACCTTCAGAACATTCCTTAGCAGAATATTTAATGCAGTCAGTCTTCAAGCCAGCTACAGTACTCAACATACTCGAATTAACTTCAAATACTGACTTTACTTCAATTTTAAATACTTTCAATATTTTGACTCCCTGTTTCTAACACTACAAATTGTATATCTAGTATGTATGTCATTACTGAAACCATAAAGTCATGGTAACCCTTCCAAAAACTTTCGGTACCAAAAATTCATAAGATTAATTCCACAGAAATACACTCAGTTTCCATCCATGACTGTACATCACTGGATTTGCAATTTCTTATGATTTAAAAGAAAGCATCAAGTTTTTACATTGCCCAACAACTGAAGTACAAACTAACCCTTCAGACACAGCTGCAAGCATTTAAAAGTATATCAGTAAGTATAGATATTTCTTTTTCTACCACTCTTAGAAAATAAATCCAGACAAAAAAATTGAAAGTTTCAAGCTTGAAAAGTGTAACACTCATGAAGCTAAGCTTCTTACTTTCATCTGTCTTGGAGAGGGGACTACTTACGGATTTGGCAGTTGCAGAAATGTATTGGACAACCATCTCGCGTTTTGTGGTCAAGTCTTTATCTCTCAAAGGAGCTTTACGTTCTTCATTTAGATTCATGTCTTCCTGTAAAGAAACAGACGACACAACATCAAGATTCTATTTCATGCTTTTCATTAATCTTTGTTATTTTTACACTCCTCTTCTTAAACAAACGGCTCACTTTTAAACAAACAGAAGTGACTTTTTCCAGCTTATCTGCATTTCAGTTTGCTTAATTCTGAGCTACCCGGTCTTCTCATTTAATTGTTACTTCAAGTATTTGCTGTTTTCAAGACTTAGCCAAAATTATAATTGCATAAAGGGTAGTTACTGTTAGTGAAATTTGGCTCAAGAAATAAAACTATAGAACAAACCCCAAAATTACACACCTCAAGTTGATCATGTAAGTGTTAACTCTTTTGAAGTTACTGTGGGTTTTACAAAATTTTATCACAAAGGACACTATTCTTGCACTATCTAATCAGAAGGCTGTTATTACACAGATTATTAGCTTGTGGCAGGGGTAGATGTGAGTGTGTTCCAACTGATGCATTTAGCAAACCTAAAAATCCAAATATTCTGCTAGATTAAATCTAAAGATGCCTGTTTCAATATAACTGATGAAATACAACATATAGCCATTACTAGTCGCAACTAGTCTTGTCACTAAAAGTCAAAGTAACTTCAGATTAGCAACTAAGACCAGTAAATGTTCCTGTAATAACTTAACTAGCTAACGGCTTTTTCAAAGAATTACTAGTCTCTGGAACACAGACCTATTGTCTCCTTCAATTAACATTACTTGGAAAAGTTAAAAATTAATCCCTTAATCTAACAAGCAAATCAAGCAAGTAGTAATTAACACTTATCCATTCTTTCAAGAAAAGATTCACAACTTCATTGAACAGAGTAGAACTACACAATGGAACACAACACTTCTTAAACCATACTGACTGTATAGAAGTTGAAACAATTTTAAAGAATGACACAGAAAACAGTATTTCTAACAATACTCAAAAGACTGCATTTCCTGATACTTCACATATCAAGACCAACATGTGTGGCAGAATTAATACACACCTACTTCAAAAGTTTATTTCCGTATTACTAATAGAAAAGCTTGCTTGTGAGCAGAAGCACAAATGTTGACAAGTGATCCTAAGACAGAAAACATTCTAAACCATACAAAAATTCAGCTTCCTATACATTTTTTTTAATGGAAATTACTATTTTCCAAAGGTATTTACTTAAGTTTATTAAAAACTATCCTTCAGCAGCAGTATCTAACTACTGCAACTAAGGTCTATAGAGGTTATCTTAATGAAGCAATCAACCGCCTAAGGTTATGGGGTTTTTTTGCTTTTATTTTCTCTGTAGAAGTAGACCGAGTAATTTAAACATATATAATACTAGCATTCTATGAGTTACTCAATTGTTTATGTGCCAATTTAGACAGGTCTATCAGGCCTATGCTACGCCCTCTCAATCAGTTAATACTTCCAAAATGACATTTGAAAAATCACTACAACGTAATAAATGCCAACATGAAAACAAATTAAAATCTCATAAAACTGATGTAGCACATCATCTTACCATCATTTTTTCAAAGAGATCCATAACTTCTTTTTCTGATAAGTTCATGCAACGGTCATCAACAAGTGCCTGGGAAAGCGGGACTTCACTTATAGAAGGTTGAGAGTCAATAGGATGCTGAATGAGAGGTTTCTCTTTTTTCACTCCTGATTTTCTGAAGCTTGTTATTCTGTCACGCTGCAAAGACATCCATTTAAAAATAAGCAGAAATAGAAATATAGGAAAGCAGCCAATTACATGGAAGTAATACACACAGTTTTAGTTAATCCAAGCAGCAGAGTTAAAACTCAAACTGAACTGTAAGTAAAAATACTCTTAACATTCAGAGATTACTTTTCATAGAAAGACAACAACATTTAAGGTAAATTCATGACAGGTCACATGCAAAAGGGATGTAACTACTTCTGACAGTTTCAAAAGCATACCATCTATGTTAAACTCTTAGCATTTCAAAATCCTGAGTTCATCTTCTCACATTACTCCCTAATTATCCTGATAGTGAATAAATATGGTACCACAAAGGTAATGTCCAAGCGTTCCTTCACCTGAAGAGCTATAAGTCTTTGGAGGACAACTGAAAAAGCCACCGTTGGGAAGGAGGTACTCACAAGTTCACCAGGCTTATAAAAAAATCCTGCTAAAGTAAAATAAAGTTTGTAGAGGAATTAATGCTCCAAGTATAGTTCACAATTCCTTGAAGTGTTTTTGAGTACGGACTCCTGAAATTAGTGCATAATTTTAAAAAGCCAGGTAACGGATTACTCACATAGAAGCAGCCATCCATAGTTAAATACACGTAACACATTAGTGAAAGCATATCATACAGTCTGCAATGACATTTCACTGGTTAAGGCTGACTTGTTTTATGCCTTACACCAAACCCCCCACCTTTTTTATTTTTTATTTTTAAAGCATGCTTACTCAGTTAATTTGTTAATATCGGAAACAACCAACAAGAGCACCTTCCTTATAAGGCCATTTATTACCGTATTATTAACATGTAACTCAGAAATTTTTAGATTTAATAATACTGTCTTTAACTATATGTTAATTTTGAGAACATTATGTCTATAGCGATTTTTTTTAAATTAACTGTTTGCATCAACAAATACTAGTGTATTTGTTTCAGGTATTGAACAGCCTTATGAAGATGTGCTTTCATGTAACAGCAGCTTATGTAGGGTTACCAGTATCATTCATAGCAGTTATCACAATCTCTATGAAGACATGTAAACCAAAGTTTATATTTTCTATAATTAAACAACCTCTTTGAGGTGTGAAAAGTTTAATGGAGTATTTAATCTGTAGGAAATTTGGGTTCCTTTTAGATTAGTCCAGTCAGGAACGGAGAAGTTTGACCAAGTGCTGTGGAATAGGGGGAACGAAAGGTTCTTCCTTTTTTTGCTGTTTTTTTTTTTCTTGGTTTGTTTTGTTGTTGGGTTTGGTTTGTTGTTGTTTTTTGACATCCTACAAGACTACCTTACATTTTTGAAAGAGAAAGTATCCCTAGATAAGCTGCATGCCATTTGAATTTCTTTGGAAGTTTTTTTGGTATGCTTGTGTTTTTGAGGGGAGGGGGGGTTGGGTTTGTATTTTCTTCTTCCTTAGAAGTCTTACATTTGTGGACACAAACACATTACCTACAAGGATACTGTTAACATCTTTAACAAGGCAAGAATGTTACTTTAATCCCATTTTTTTCCCCATATTAGAATAGTTTACATTACATTTTTTTAAACTAAGATTAGGGCATAACCTACTGGAAAGGATAAAGATATGACATAATGCCTGAAAGGCAGTATCCAAAATTATTCAATATACATCAAATGCAGTTTTACTGTTCACTTACATTAAAATGCCCATTCAGCAGTCACAAAAAAAAAAAAGCCAAGATTAATTTCACCATACTGTGATTTGTTTCAAGTATACCTCATTAACAACAAATTTGTTTAATCAGAATGCAATGGTGAGATCACTTCAAAGCCATAAATGAATCTTCTACATGATTACTAGGTACAATTTCTTCACTTCAGACATGTAAGTGATGATTAACTAAGTGGCCAGCGTGGCTTAACTATTATATATAGAAAGTAAAAGGTTATAATTTTACTGAAATGAATTTTTATATAAGTTTCTGTAAAAATACTTTGCAACAGGTTTCAAAGTATTCAGAATTATAAAGTTAGTGCTACTGAATACAAACTTGTTGTTTGACATACAGTATATACTTATTACCCAAAAGGGTTCCACTTGAATCACATGGCAACTAACTTTGAAGAACCACTGCAGATCCTTTAGTGTTAAAAAGGTCAAGAGAAATAACACTGGAAGTGTTGAATAACAGTTTCAACATATCCACAGTGCTACTGAAGTATTTAGAATGTGGTTAAAGAAGCTTCTCCAAATAGGTATCATTAACTACTCTTCTTCAACTTAAAGTGACAAATGAAGATCTTTAGAAATAGTAACTCAGTTTCTGAAATCTAATGCTTAATATCCTTATAAGAACATGTTATATTGTCCACAACATTTGGAGTAGAATAGCATGCAGCGTGGAGTTACCATTGCAAATTAAGATGTTACAAAGACCTTACCACATCATCTGCCAAAGTTTTTATTTGAATATTCTATCAAAAAAAAAAAAACACACACACAAATCAAAGAAAAAAAAAGACAGTTACCTACTGTTTCAGAATAAAGAAGTCTATATTTCATGTATTCTAACATTAAAAAGCACTTCAAATTTCAGTAAGTGTTCTAACAAAACTGCAGCTAAATGAGCATGGAATCTACTGCATTTTATGTGAAAAAGCCAGCTTGCACCCCATTTCACCTTGTCTTTTGACTATTTAATTCAGGAACCTGAAACTTCTAGCACCCCCACTATTTCACAAAAATGCAGTAAGATCTCTTGGAAAGCTTTCCAAAACAAACATGGACTACCAAACTTCATAGTGAGTCAGCAGAGAGCTATATGACATTCTCAGTTCTGACAGAGTTTTTGAGACTCAGAGTTGAGGAGAATTTCCCGTACCCTAGCTTCTCGAGCCTTCTGCCAATTTCTCTTTAACACTGAGTAATATAAATTGATAGATGAACTAGTTAAAGCCAGCATACTGATGACGCACAAACCAGTCACTACTATCTCTCCCTCCCTACTACCCTCTCACTTTTTCCTTAGCAGTAAAATCCTGCTGACAAAGATCACCAACGTCACATTTTTATTCATGGCAAAAAAAGCAATATATATTGCATACCAATATCAATAATCAAATAATTATAACAAGGAAGCATTTGGTTAATAAGCATTGCTCAATTTACACCAAGCAGTCATGAACAGGTAATTAAGGTCTACTAGAACTTTGGGGGGAGGGAGGGGGGCACACACAGATCCAAGTCAAAAAGAACTGCTGTCTATGAAAATGTGTGCTAGTTGATCCATGATGACACAGCCCTGCAAGTCACTGGTTAGGAAACAGCAAGCCTATTTTCTTGGACAGCAAAGTTTCCAATTCCTTTGTTATACTCTCATCAGCTGAAATGATCGAGATGCTTCCAGTCAACATCCCATACCACTGTGTATTGTTAACACGGTGTATGAGTTCAACGTTACTAGAAATGAACCTATAACTGTATACCACGCAACGTTTTACTTCCCCTTGGTGGAAGATATTAATACACCATGCTCCTTCTAATTCTACTTTCTGTCTCTTAGCTACAGTTGTCAATATTGTATTTCCGAAACAAATGAATCTGCAAGACTACACAAATAGTGGAGGAGGCAACAAGGTGGGAAGTAGGGACAATGTGTTCATACTTTAATGAAGATAAGCATTCAGAGGTATCCAGAACAGCGTGGCAGATTGATCCTGGCTGGCAGGTCAGTCGCCACCCAGCCACTTGCTTATTCCCTCGCAGCAGAATCAGGGGGAGACCCAGAAGTGCAAAAGCAGGATAAAATCATGGGTCGAGATACAGAGTTTAACAAGCGAAGGAAAAAAAAAAAAAAGATAGAGAAACAAATGATGCAAAAGCCATCACTCACCATCAACAGACCAATACCTACCTAGGCTCTGAGCAACTGCTACTTTGGAAAAAACTTCTCCTCCCCACCTCGCCACCCCTGGTTTTATTGCTGAGCATGACACTACATGGTATGGAATATCTCTTTGGTCAGTCTGGATCAGCTGTCCTGGCTGTGTCCCCTCCCAACCTCTGGCCCACCCCATCCTACTCCTGGGGAAGGGCAGGGGGGTACACTAAGAAACAGGAGGCCTTGACACTGGGTAAGCAGTGTTCACCAAAAGCTGTAACACAGGTGTTTTATCAACACTGTTTTGGTCACAAATCTAGACCACAGCACCATATGGGCTGCTATGAAGAAAATTAACTCCATCCCAGCCTGACCCAGTACAGACAGCTAGGATAAAATCTTTTTCTCTTACTACTCCAGATGTTGACACCAACCTTTCAGCTCCCTAACTGCCATATCTCAAACCTCTTCCTTACAGCTACACCTCTCTTGTATTTTCCTTACCCTGACTTAGAATGGAGTTAAAAGGGCAAGTGATAATCTAAACCTGAAATCAAAACTAAGATGTCCTTACCCTGGGGTAAACAGACCTTTTCCTTTTCATGAAGATTACTGAGCAAGTCCAAATCAAGTAAAGCCTAACCATGACTTCAACCCAGAAACAGTTATGTAAGCAAGAAGTTCTAAAACTCTGATTCTGTTTTAGCAGTTATTTGTACTAGAAATATATTTTTTTCCCCCTTCTCATTGAAGTACTGTCAATCTCTCCCAAAACCTGGAACAGGATAATCTACTCCATCTCTACATTTTTATTGCATGTCACTCAAACTCCTCTGGGCAAAATACAGAATACTAAAGCAAGATACCACCCAGCATTTTTTCCAGACATATCAAGCACACTTCCCAGATCTCCGTATGGTGCATAAGCTACACTATTGCCAGTAGCTATGCAAGATAAGCAACGCATTTCACAGGTAGAAGAGAAACTGCAAGCAGCTGGAGGCAGAGGCAAGGCAGTTACACATTCTCATTGACACACAATTCTAACAGTCTCATATACTAACAAAGAAATCATGCTTCCAGTCTAAGAACATAAACCAAAAGTAGTTTACCTCCCCAAGAGGAAGTTTAAGTTATCACAGTT